CAGATATACTCATGTTCGAGTTGCGTATAGCAAGCATAATTACTTTATTTTTGTTCCTTTTTGACATTTTTTTGGGACGACCAGCGTGACTTTTGTCTTCTACTGTTCCAAACTCATGGTTTTTTAGCATTGTTCTAACACTGCATTCACAGATTTTAAGTTGACGTCCAATTTCTCGATTGCTGAGACCACTTTTGTGCAGGCCAACAACTTGCCCTTTTTGTTTCCATTAAACCCATATTTTTGTTGTTCAAATTTTAAAGTTTTAACTAACTGTATTTCAAATGATATATCTGTCACTTCAACTTAAGCTTCTTATATTTTTTATTGACTATTATTAATCAGCAGAGAGTAATTAACAAAAATTAACCAAAAAGGTTTTTCTCAAAGGAAGTAAACAATTGTACTAATACATTTTAAATGATTGCGCTAATACTTTTGCACGCGTAATTTCACACATTTTTCAGAGTAGTCATTAAACCTCTAATTAATTCATCAAAAAAACAGGTAGTTTGACAAATATTTGACATTCTAATTAAATTTAATTGGTTTTACCTTTCATTAAAAAAAAAAAAAACTAATTCGTAATTAAAATTACTTTACAATTTAAATTGATTTGAAGTTGTCTGTAATTAAAAAATTATGAGTACGCTAATACTTTCTGGAAGCACTGTATATTTAATAGTCACATGCTTGGCCTGGGCATTTACATTTGTAAAAATTTACCCATATATTGGAAAACTATTTTGTTGAGTTTAAATCCAAACTATTCCTTTATGTGTTTTCGTTTAGTACCGCTTCACTCTATTGTATTTCTCTTTGTTCTTTATCTCAAGACTGCACTTTCCAACTCCTTTTACAGACACCCCAAATCATTTACCTTTTCTACTTGACTTATTTCTTGTTTCTGATCCTAGTCAGTGCTCAGTTTGTCCTCATTCACCCTTAGGTACTTCTTATCACGGTTTGATCTCTCTAAAACTATTATCTCATTCTTCATCATCATCAAAATCCCCCTATCATCGTACCTCTTACAACTACCTTAAAGCTGACTGGGACTCTTTTCGTGATTTTCTTCGTGATAGCCCTTAAGTAGAAATCTTTTGTTTTGAAAATTTTCAATCAAAACCATTACTTCCATAACTAACATCAAAATAATTCTCCAAAAAACAGACATATACAGACATATACTTTACTATTAATATTAATATATTGGGTAGAAATTTTTCGTCTTCCTGCTGATAAATGGGCTTCTTACATAACTTCTTGGATCCAGGCTGGCATGGAATCTTTTATTCCCTCTCGACCATTCCAAATCAAGCCTCACTCTTCTCCTTGGTTTACCTCACATTGTACTGCTGCAATTTCTAATCAAAACCATTACTTCCTTATCTATCAGCAAAACACTTTTTCAGAAAATAGATGTCTGTTTACTTTTGCTTGAAACCATTGTAAAAAGGTTGATGAAAATTGATGGATATGTTGCCAAAGCTTGCTACTCTCAGGTCATGAAGTCTTGTGTTTCATGTCAAAAATTAGGCTCTTGTGAATTCTGTGAATCTTACAAATCAATAATAAAGGCAAATCTGTTATTCTACCTCTCTTGTATGGTTCAGATTTTGCTACCTCACCTAAAGACAAAGCTAAATTGTTTGCTAAGAACTTTTCATCAATATCATCTCTTGGTTGTACTAGTTGTGTTCTACCTTATACAACCAACCAATAGGTTGATCCATTGCTTAACATTCGTATCACTCCAGCTTCTGTATCTAAAGTGAATTTCTGCTTAGACTCTTCTACAGCTTGTGGTCCGAATAACATACCTGTTATAATTTTGCAGAAGTGTTCACTGGAGCTGTTACCTATACTTTTAAAGCTCTTTAACAAGTGCTTATAAGAGTCTTGTTTTCCGGCATGCTGGAAAGCGGTATCTGTTATCCCTATTTCAAAAATTCTGGAGAGCGGTCTGACTTTGATAAACTACCATCCTATTAGTCTTCTTCCTATCATAAGCAAGGTTTTTGAATCTTTAATTAAAAAACACTTTATCTCTCATCTTGAATATAGTAACTTAATTTCTGATCATCAATATGGATTTCAATCTTCTCGTTCTACAGCTGATTTGCTAACAGAAATAATGGATAGGTTTTATTGTGCATTAGATAGAGGTGGAGAGGTTAAGCCTATGGCTCTTGACAAGCTTTTAATAAACTTTGTCATGCTAGTCTTCTCCATAATTTTTATTCTTACAGTGTATCAGGTCACATCTTTAAGGTTATTGAATCCTTTCTTTTCAATCCTAGTATAAAAGTTGTCCTTGATGGACAGCACTCTTTTTCATATCATGTATCTTCAGGGGTTCCTCAAGGTTATAACCTTGGCCCTATACTTTTTTTAGTTTACATTAATGATCTTCCATATTTTCTCACACCTAAGGTGGCATTGTTTGCTGATGATACAACCATTTATTACCAATGTTTATATACATTTATTCTTGTCTTGATAAGAATCCAACACTCTCTGATTGCTTGGAAGGGGCGTTTGAGCTTGAAAAGGATCTCTGGCTAGTAAACTTTAACTCAGAGAAAACTTAATTTTTCTCAGCTAATTGTTATCGCAATAATCTAAATCTTCCTATATTAATGAATGATAATGTACTTGATGAGTCATCTACCCTTAATCTTATAGGAATAACTCCTACTTCTGATCTTTCTTTGAAAGCATATACCAAATTGATTTGCAAAATTAGCATCTGCTAAGGTTGCATTTCTTTATCGTGCTCACCACTTTCCTACTCTGGATTCTATTCTTTATTTCTATAAATCTCAAATTTGTCTTTGTATGGAATACTGTTGCCATAAGGCGGATCATCCAGTTATATTGTTGTAAAAATATTTCTTCGAAAATAGATCAACTTAGTATTTATATAAAGGGAAGTTTTATATAAATCCAAAAAAAAAGTTTGTAAAAAAAGATATTAAAAACTTATAGAAATTCATGTTTTTATTTTTGATATAAAAGTTATAGTTTTTCTGCAACAAAATCTATAAAAAGGATTAATACAAAAGATAATCAAAACACATTAAAAACACTAAGTGTGGCATAATGGTATAAACAAACCAATCATTGTTATTGATGGGCAAATATATACATTTATGGGCAATTCCACGGCAGAAAATAAAAAAGTAGTCAAATTTTATTCTTCTTTTCTTCAACTTTTAGAAAATGAATATTGATGTAGACACATGAAAGTTTATTTAAAATTTATCTTTAATACTAAAATTAATTTAAGTTATTTTTATGCCTTCGAAAGTTATGGTTTTTTCTCATTATCACATGGTAAAAAAGGTATCATTATAAAATGTGAATTTATTTGCATAATTGGAATTAAATTAGCATGAAAATGGAGCTAACGTGTTCAAATTATTGTTGGTCAGATTTTATACTTTATAAAATATATATATATATTTTTTTTCTTTCTTTTTTTTTTCAAGTTAATTAAGGTGCCCCAAGAAGTCCTTATGGTCTTATCACAGAGCACCGTGGAAGAGCATTTAATAGGAAGTTCACGCCTCCTTCCCAACCGATGTCGCAAGTGAGCTACCACTGCGCCACGGCTGCATTATTTTAAAAAAATAATGAATGAACTTTTGCAATTTTTGTGTAATGTAAGTTAACAAAAACATGATAAAGTTTTGTTTGTTATAAAATTTAGTTAAAACTTAAGTTTTTTAATAATATATGTGAAAGAATATTAAATTTTACATTTTTGCGTTTAAAGTTTTGAATAATGATGCTTATTTAGAGCACAATTTTATTTTAAATTTGTAAGTTGAAACTACAAACATTTTCTTAAGTTCTGGCGCTTTTTTGTATTATATTAAGAGAATTTAGAAAAAAGTCTTTTTTTTAATGTTAATTAAAATTATTTATAGTATTTCTTTTTTATTTGTTTATGTATTCTTATTTGACATAAATACACATAAATAAATAAAAATAAGGATTATATAAATATTTGTATTTAGACATTAAAAAAAAAACAGATTTATTTGCTATTCTCTTAATATAAAAAAATCAGTTAGAATTTTTTTTGTTTTTGTTTTAGTAAAAAAAATCATTTGTAAATGCTATTATGGGTCATCCATAAAGCATGTCACCCTATATTTGTCAATTTTTAACCCCTTCCCTCCTGTCACCAACGATCACATATGCCTGAATCCCTCTTGCTCCTAAACTGTGATAGTAGTTTTTCTTCAAAAATATTTCAAAAGATTTAAATGTAAATATTTTGCAGCATTATAAAAATTTAAACTAATGAAAATAAGGTACTACGCATAAACATAAGGAGTGTAAGTAAAAAGTTCGACAAACCAAAGACTTTCTTATTTAAACGACTCAAATAAGTATTAAAAAGTTGTAATACTATAACAATTTTTCAAAGTTGCTCTTGGTCTTGTGGAAAAACTGTTTTCGATTTAATAACTTTTATAAATTTTATGAAAAATCACTCAGGAAGAAGTTTTTAAAAATTTCCTTTGTTAATTATTTTTAATAAATAAGTTCAATACCTTTGAAGTTGTTTTGTTATGTAACTAACTTGAAATAATAGAAGATACATCTTGTGAAAGTTTATAATACAAACTGCTTTACTGATTCGTAGAAATCTGACATTAATGTTGAAGCAATTTTTTTACTAGTTTTCCGTGTAACGTAAGTTAAGTGGCATTTTTAGTAATAAGTTTGCCCTCTTTCGGCCAGATTTAAAATTTTTTTGCTTATTCTATTCTTTAGACTAACAGCTTTCATGTAAAATAGCTAAAAGTTTTATTTACAGTTTAAATAGGCAAATATTTGATAAAGTTGTTGCGCGTATAACTTAAGTTAAAAATGGAATTACCCATATACATTCATAATTACCCAATTTAAAAAACTACCACAACTTCTGAACACATTTATTGTTTTAACATAAACTTGTTCTTAAAAAGTTTACTTATTTTTAGATAACGCGATTCCCATCGTTTCATGGTTTGCTGATCCTTCTGACACAGCTTTATTAAATTTATTACCAATATTGGATGCTTTGCGTTTCACTAATGATGTTCGATCTATACTTAGTAGAAATCTTCATAGACCTATTTTATAATTTGGTTTAATTCTTGAAATATATATTTTATACTTAGGTGACGCATTTTTTTAAATTAATTAAAAATTTGTAGTAAAAGTTTTTTATAAAGAAACTATTGTGTTTTTGAAAAAAGTTGTTTCTGTAGTTAAACTTTCTGGCTAATGTTTTCTACTTAAAAACAGTAGTCTTTTTAAGTTAATTATAATCTATTTGCTATTTTGTTTTTGTTTTTACCTCCCCTTAACCTGGTTCCTGAAGGGGGTAGTTAAGGAGAATACTCTTATAATCTTTATTTTTTTCATTTTTTTTTGGTTTTGAAACACTTGCAAAGAAAAAAGTCCCTGCACTGAGAAACAAGCTGAATGCTTCTAGAAGCATAGGGTAGATATGAACCTCTTGATTGTAAGCTGTTCTACCACAAGTCTATCACATCAGTAGTAATACTGGTTGTCACATTTAAGTAGGTAATACAAGTTGTCACATTTAAATAGGTAGTATTGATAGTAACTATTGTCTACCACAAGTCTACTACCACATTTGTATTTGTAGTAAATGTTGTGTCACATTTAAGTAAGTAGTATTGACATTAACTGTTGTCTACCAGAAGTCTACTATCACATCAGTAATAAATAGTTGTCTACCATAAGTAGACAACTCCTTACTACTACCACATTGGCAGTAAGTAGTATTGTTAATAATTGTTGTTGTCTCTTTTCAGTTAATCATATTTACATCATAAACTATTCATATTCGCAAAACTAAATAAATATAAAATTATTTTTTGAAAAAATTTTTAAATATAAATAACAGCAAACAGAAATATCACATGATTTTTCAAGTAATGGAAGCCAGCAATTGCTCTATGATTAAATATACTGTTCATAATATAATTTAGTACATCAAGTCAACAAGTGGATTTGATTTAAAAAAGACTTGTGAAAGACCGAGAAACTGATAAAATAAATCGATAAAAAAAACCTAAAATTGACAAGATATGTGGTTTGGCAGTAAAAGGCAGATTTCAAGATTACAAATGTTTACTATAATTTTTAACTTAGGCAGCAACACTGCACATAACCTCATCAGTATTTTTTGCATCAGTTTGCTTTTTTTTTGTTTTTTTTTTGTTTTATTTAATATTCTTTTATTTTACTTTTTAGTTTCCTCTTAGTTTTGTTTTGTTCTTTATCACATAGATTTTTTAAACTATTTAATATTATCTTTAAATTGATTTTTTTTGTTGTTTTTACTTGATAATCTTTTTTTATTTGTACTTATTTTTATTTTTTTCTCTTGAATTTTTCTTTTGTTCTTGTTTGTGTTTTGTTTTAATTTGCTCATTAATTTTTTTTATTCCAATATTTGTTAGTTAAAAAGTATGGTCTATATTTTGAAAAATATTTTTTAGAGGGAAAAATATAAAAAGATGAAAAATGAAGATGATGAAAAAAAAGCCAATAAAAAAGCCAAGCAACAAAGTAAAAATAAAAAGAAAAAAGAAATGATGAAAAGCAAAAAACAACAAGAGCAGAAACAACAAGAGTTGGTTGCACATGAAAATATTGTAATTATTTGTTCATTATTGTAGTTATTTGTTCATTTTTTTATTGACATATTATGTGTATTATTATTCATTAAATAAGATAGATGTCTAGAAACTTTTTTCCAGAGATTTAAAATGGATTTGGAAATCCAGTAAATAATAATTTTTAGTCCTAATTTGTAAGGTTCAAGTTGGCTCTTAAAAGATTACTTGCAAATCAAAGGGTGGAAGTAGGAATATGGTTGGCTATGACAAAGATTTCTGTTATAAAAGTATGAAATATGCTGCTTTGTAAATTGTAAGTATATGGAAACATACTGACTTGGGAATTACTTTCTGAAGTACACATTGTAAAGAAGGGTATTAAACTAAACAAAGTATACATTTCAAAGTATTAAGTTATCTTACTTATCTTACTTTATCTTAAGTTATCTTACTTGAACAAAAATGCATCATTTGAAGAGCTTCGTTTAATTTTTTTCTTTAGAAGATAAAGATATTTTGAGAGGTTTGACATTAAGGAGCGGTATGATAACTGAAAAATATAGCATATGAGATGAAACAAAGAGTTTAGAGAAAAATTGAATAGTATGAAAGAATAAGATTTTTTGAAGAAATATAAATATAATGCAAATTTTTTGATTTTATTGGAAAACTGTATTAGGAATGAATTAGGTTTAGCTGATCTCATGTTTCAGTTACTAGTTATACTTTTGATTTTTTAGAATGTGTTCGCATTTATACTGTTTTCACTTTCACAACTCTACTTTATCAACTTTATATTCTTAATTAAGTTAAAATGGCAAAACAAATGTTTTATTTATATTCTTTTGATAATTTTCATCATTTGATAAACAAAAAAGATTAACAATTTAAAAAAATGCTTGTACCTTTTGGCTAGTGTTCTTAAACCAACAGCCAAAGTATTTATGACTTGCAGGCAAGTGCGAAAAGGCTTTAGTGTGAAAGTGTTGGCCGAACAAAAAGCAATATATATGTGTGTGTGTGTGTATATATATATATATATATATATATATATATATATATATATATATATATATATATATATATATATATGTGTGTGTGTGTGTGTGTATATATATATATATATGTGTGTGTGTATATATGTATATATGTGTGTGTGTGTATATATATATATATATATATATATATATATATATATATATATATATATATATATATATATATATATATATATAAATATATATATATATATATATATTTAAATATATATATATTTACATATATACATATATTTAAATATATATATATATAATACTATAGGTGATGTATATATATATAAAATATATGTACATCAACTATAGTATGTATAAATATATATTTTTCGTGCAAAAATGTCAACTTTTTTTAATACAGTTTTTTATTAAAAAAAAGGAAAAAAAAAAAATAATGAAGAAAATTTATTGCTACCCTAACCTTAGTTCTCAGTTGATGTAGCTGCAACTTCCTTGCATTATCTCCCTAAATTAGTTCATGTATGTATCAAAACCCTCACAGCTCACTAAATCAGTATAGCATTAGATTACCAAACTAAATGTGCTTTTAATGTTTATATGTATATACACTTCTTTAAATTGGCTTTGAGAGTATGGAAGGTAATAAATAATTCTTTTGACAATAAATTTTGTCACTTAATTGCTTTGACTTTCATCCAACTTATCTGTGTTGTCTTAAAACCATTAAAATAGTTGTGAGTGCATATAAAGTTGTGAGAGCATAAAAAATTAAGCGTTTTCATAATAACCAAAAAAATTAACTGAATTGACTTGAATTATTTTTTTTTAATGCAGAATGTTTTTTTTTTTTAAATCTTTTTTGTTTTATATTATTTATTTTGTTTTATGTACTGATTTATTTTGGGATTAGCGTAGCTGAGTGTACAATTGTTGCTCAAAAAAGGTAGATTTTGAAGTTTTGCTAAAATACCTAAAATAATCTGAAACAAAATTTTAGTTTACCTAGCATAGACAAAGAAATTTAGGGTGTACAAGAAACTTTGATGATGGATTATTTTATAAATATGGGACACCTTAACAAGTAGTTCAAATAAATATTGACTTTTAAATTAACTGTTGCTGATTGATGCAATTGTTATAGAATGTTAGTAATTAGGCACAACCTGGTACAACTTAAATTTATTGGTATAGCTTTCCAGACTTGGTGTCTGTCCCCCATTTTGATATTCTTTTCCCAAATAATACATTATTTAAATTATTGAATAATATTTGAAAACTTAATATAGTATATTTTTTGAGTTTGAGTAGATTGTAGTAATAAAAAAACTATATATACTATAATTTTTAGGAGGTAAGATTTTTTAAAATTTTTTAATAATTTTTAATAACTTTGTAATTTCTTATTTAAAAGTCAAATGAAGAAGATAACTTTGCTGAAGAATTACAGTGGTGTATACAACAAATTGAGCTAGGCTTAAAGACACGCAAACCAAGTCCAGATCAAGGTAAATATCTTTCTGTATCTTTTTATAGTTTTTATTACAACTTGGTAGCAATAAATTAAAGTAAAATTTTTTTACTTATCGAAATGACTAATTTGGACTATTAGCAGTTTTTGTATTTTGTGCAATAATATATTGTTTATCATTTTTTTAATTTATTGCTAATGAACTTTTATCTTAGTTTTATTTATTTTTTTAAAGTATTAACTAAGTTTTTTTATTTTTATGTTTTATTATTTATATTTTTTATTTTTTAGTAATCAAAAGTCAAAAATTGATGCAACAATTAATGTCTACAAAAACACCTAAGGTTCAGTTCATAAAATTTTTAACTGTTATATTTTTTGCATATAAATAGAATTTAGATTATTTCATTTACCTAGAGTTCCATAACTTTTTATTATTATTTATAAAATATTTAGGGCTTAAAGGCCCTAAATATTTTATAAATAATAACAAACAAGCTTTTATTGATGAGCGCTCCATCAGTATAAAAATTTAAACAAAACATTAAAAGATGAAGTAATTTATAAAACGAAAACAAAATAAATAAAAACTGCACCATGGCTACACACTTTTTTTATTTTTTTATTCTGATTCACTCCTTGCAAAACTGAAAACACTGAATATTATGTTGGGAGTCACTAAAAAAAAGAAAATAAAGTTGAAGAGCATGGAAACGCTTGACAAAGACTTAAAAAGTTCTAGGTTGTATGAGTCAGGAAATTATGAAGATGGGAGAGAGTTACAAAGGGATAAAGTGCAAGGAAAAAAACTAGACAAATAAAAAAGTTAAACAAGAGTTTTAGTTGATGGAACTTAAGATGATAGCTCCTTTGAGCAGTAACCATAGTAGTATTTATAGAAAAGAGAAAGAGATGCAGTTTAACAATGATGAGAGAAGCTCAAGCTTGGCATATATAGTGGGTCAAACTATGTTTACAATGCGCTTTTGGACCTTATCTAGAAGAGGAAGAGCATCATTAAAAGAACCAGCTCAAATATGACCACAGTAATCCATACAGGGATAACTGTTGTCATATTTTGTTGAATAAGAGATTTATAGGGGTAGAGAACGAAATCAGGAATAAGAAAACGGCAAGCACAATAAAAAGAAGCAACCTTTGCAGATTCTGGTTTAGCAATCAATTGGTATCCATGAGAGGTCAGTAGTGAACAAAAAATCAAGAAGACATAAAGAAGAGGACTCATTGAGAGGGTTGCCATTCATTAATATAAGAATGTTGACAATAATGTGATAGTTGTTTGCAATACATAACTGAGTTTTATTGGAGTTAAAATTCACAAGCCACTGCAAGCCCTGCTGTGAGCTCTAATCTGTTATAGAAGTGAAGTTAGATTCAAGATTGGCTGCCTGTTCTAAGCGATCAAAAGATAAGACTTTTTGTCAAGACAGGAGTATAATGTTGAGGCATTAGCAAAGAGAGCTACTTTAGATAAATACTTTAGAAAGATCATTAATATAGATAAGAAACAAAACAAGACCTAGGGTAGAACCCTGGAGTATCGCAGAAGTTACTGCAAATGAAACAAGTGTTGGTCTTCGAGCATGACTTTAAAAAAGTGGTTAGAAAGAAAAAATTTGGTGATCTCAAAAACTTTTCCTGATACACCATATGAAACAAGCTTATGGAAAGGTTAGCATACCAAATATGTAAAGGGCAATAGTCCTTGCCTTGCGACCTCCATCTAATGCATGATTAAATCTTTTGGTCACAGCAGTTAGCAAGTCAGCCATAGAGTGAGAGAATCGAAAACTATATTGATTGTCTGGCAGTAAGTTATTTGACTCGAGACGGGATGTTTTGTTGATTTTTTGTTGATTAAAGACTCAATAATCTTGCAGATAGAAAACTGATCGGATGACAGTTTGATGGATCGGAATGATTTCTAGAGTTGTTAAAAATTAGGACCATAAATTCAAATTTTTAGCAGGTAGTAAAAAATTCAGTCAAGTGTTTATTAAATAGTTTCGGGAAAATTGAAGAGAGTTCTGGAGATCACTTTTGTAAAACTATGACTGACTTATTCATAGAAAGAGCACGGCATCCCAAGCAAATATCTATGCAGTTGTCTTAATCCCGTTAATAACTTAAAGTTGTAATATAAGCCTCCTTATGTGGCCTCAACAATCCACATGAAAAGCACAACAAGGCATTGTTAATAATCTGATATTTTTCAGCTGCTGATGGAATCAATCTCTCTGAGAGCTACCACAAAGTTCGGTAAACCTTACTTCTAGTTGGCCTTAGAACCATTAAACTGAGTTTTTTAGCTGTTCCCTTTTTGATTTGACTTCAGGCTCCTGAAGGTGTAAATATGGCCCTGGCTATACCTAACGTTTTTTTAACTTGGAAATTGATTTTGTTTTTGTGGTTTAAATAAATTGAATAAAATATTTCACCCTATTCAATTTTTTTTACAAAAATTTGAAAACCATTTAAAACTGTTTTTTTTGGAATTTTAAATTTGAAAACCGTTTTTTAGAATTTTAAATTCCAAAAAAAGTTGTTTTTTGTATAAACCCTATTAATTACTTGAATTGTTTGCTCAGTAATCTTGCATTGTGGTGCAAACAACAATTCTCGCTGCAAGTTGCAAGATTAGTTGCAAATAACAACTCTTGCTGTAAGTTGCAAGATTAGTTATGTAACTTAAGTATTACAAGTTAAAAATTTGGTTTCCTGTAAATTTATGTATCTATTTAAACTGGACATTAAACATGTAAAAAGCTGAAACCTGTGTTTAGGCAAAAAAACGGATGTTGATGAAGTTAAACTTTGGCAACTACAGAGAGAAAATAGCAGCTCAAATCAAAATGCAAGGTAAAAGTATTTTGGAATTGATGTTAAAATAGTTTTTTGAAACTTATTTATTGTAAATTTGTGATGGTTATAACATTAGTATATATTTTTTTCATTATTGTATATGTTGTTTATTTTTGCTTGGTTTAGTATTTTAATTTTTAACTTTTATTATACAGTATCTCCTGGTTGTTTGGTAAGCGCTGATGAAATACTTATGAAAAAAAGTGTTTTTATTAAAAAAAAGTCTAATAATATGGTAAAACATTAAATATGTTTTCATTTATACTTGTATTAATTTAGTTTTTTAAGTTGTTTTTAGAATTTTGTGTTTTTATTTTTAGCCAGTGCTAAGTACTTCAATTAAAAGTGAAGAGGTGTTTTATTTCAATTTTCCTCAACCATCAATAGAGACTGATTTAAACCTTCAGAATTTGCTTATTCATTAAAGAAAAGTTTTAAAGATTTTTTCTATTAGCTGATTGTTGTGTTTCTTTTTTGAAAAAAAAGGGTAATAGGAAGATATATTATTATTTCAGAAAATGATATATTTCACTTCAAAAGAACATAAAACAATCATTCAATTTGCTGTGAATCATTCTGTAAAATACCAGGAAAATTAAAAGTTGTGCATTAATACGAATTGCAAAATACATATTGTGCATATGTAAAATGTCATTATTATTTGAGTCATTTAAAAATAATAAAGTATGAATAAAATGTCATAATTTAAAATACAGTATCAAGTTTTTTAAAGTTTATTTAATTTTTTGTAAATATTTTACCTTAAATTTTTTTAAAATTAATTTGATAGAATTTATGATAGTACAAATCTTTGTAAAAAAATTTATCAAGTTTAAAGTTAAATATTTTTGTAAAATTCAATTTTTTAAGTTTATTTAGCTTTGTTGTGTGTTATCATAATATATTACTTTGCCTTTCATATATACATATGTTATTTAGCTTTGTTTTGATGGTAAAATTCATAGCAAAGAATTAAGATTTTATTGGAATGTATAACTTTTTACTAAGGAATTATATAAAGACAAGTTACCTAACCTTTTCCTATGTATACAAAAGTTGTCCTTGGTATACTAATAGTGTTTGCTTATGTTGGCATCAAGCCTTTTGCATTTGGTAAATATTTTAATATTTCTTTTTTTACTATATATACATATATATATATATATATATATATATATATATATATATATATATATATATATATATATATATATATATATATTTATATATATATATATATATATACAACCCTCGGAATTAGGATCGGCATTCAGCAATGCCAACCTAACTACCAACCTGAAAGTGTTTGAGGTCAGCAAAAAATTGCCGACCTTTCTATGTTTTATGGTCAGACGTCTGTATCAAATAATTTTTGCCGACCTGATGCCAACCTCAAAATGAGGTCGGCAATAATCTGTATGAAAATTTTTATATTTTTTTTTATTTTTTTTTATTTTATTTTATAATGTTGTGATTAAAAAATTATTAGTTTGAAATTTTATTAGTTTGAAATTTAAAAATTACCAAAGTATAGTGTAAATTGCCAACCCAAATTTGCAGTAGGACCATTTTTTTTTTTTAACAGACTGCTAAGTTGACATTTTTTTAATTTATTTTTTTTTTGTGATTTTTTTCATTTTTTCATTCTTTTAATTAAATTTTACAGATGTTTTTTTTTAATATTTGGATTGAACTACTCTCTTAAAATCTTTTTTTTTTTTAAAGTTTAATTGAAAAAGTTTAATTGCAATCAATTATATATAATTGCTATTACTTTTATTGGTTGATATAATTGCAATTACTTTTATTTATATTGGTTGATCAATTGAGAACTAAGTTTTAAAGTTAACCATACAATATAAATATTATTATTAGTAAAGTTACTAATAACTATTTTTAATTTTTAAAATGTAAATTTATAGATAGGTCATAATGTTTAAATTGAATTTCTGGTTCGAAAAGCTAAACAAAAAGTAAAAAGTTGTTAAATTAGAGTATTCTATAAATTATAAAAATTTCCACTGACAGATTATGTGTTAGTATAAAATTAAGTTTTCACTTTGATATTTGATGCACTATTACACAGCAAAGAAAACAAATTGATCTTTTATATTATCAGAAGAAGTGAACCAAGTTGTTACAAAATATTTAACAATTTAATGCTGTTCTTTTGCAGAATATCAGTAGAAGATGTCAAAATAACGCTTGCAGGTTTATACTGTAAAAAAATATTTAATTTACTGCAGGATCATTTTTAAAAATATATTTCAGCTAATGATTCTAATGTTAATAATGCCTTTGAAAGTTATTAGATGTTGACCTCCATTGCAATCAATTTAGTAGCTTGTTAACATTTGTAAGTTGCATTTGGCACATGCATGATTTATTTCGAAAAGCAATTATAGTTTTAAGTGAGGATGCTGAGCAGCTCACATTTGATTTATATGCTTGGTTTACGAGAAGGATTTAATTAGTAATTTTATTGTTTATGGTATTAAAAATAATTTTTTAGCAACGTAGTTGTTTTTCACACAGTTTTGTTTCACATTTGTCTGTGTGTGTCTTTAAACCCTTACATTTGTGTGGTGTGTATATATATATATATATATATATATATATATATATATATATATATATATACACACACACAAATGTAAGGGTTTAAAGACAGTAGAAGTGTTAGATGTATAAAAACAAGCAGATTTTTTTAATGGTTTTTCACACAAATTGTAGATTCCCATCTCTCTCACTTAATTATTTTGAATTTATAAATAGCAAGTGTGATTTATTAATATATAGAATTTATAAAATAACTACCTTGAGTGCTTTTTTAAACATCCTAATACATTTAGTTAATATGTAAAACTTTATTTTACAATTTGATAAATCTTTAATTAGTATAACTATAAAGTTTATGTTTTTTAAGTCTATAAAATAATAGCGATAAAATAATAGCGATATGGAAATAAATAATAAACAATGCAGAAGAATATTTCGTTTAAACAGACCTTTTATGTTTTTTTTTTTTTTCATATTATTTTTTTTTGTATTAGGTTTTCAATTTGTATTACTTTCATTTCATATTACTTTTTCAAAAGAAAATCTTTTGATCCTTAGAACTGACTATGAAAAAAACTTAAAAATGAACTTTTTGACATAGGCTGCAAAAATATTGTAATGAAAATCAAAGCAGAACTTCTAATGCCATTAAAAAGGACATTAAATTCTTATTCAACCAAAAGTCAAAAATGGGTATAACTGAGGATGTTGACATGATTTACAGAGGAATTTAAGTAATAAGTTAAATTCACAAAGTACCAAACTTCTTCCTTTATCAAGTCTCTGTTTGTGATAAAGCTAGATTTATGGCATTTATGGGATATTTTTATTGGTTTTTAAACTATGAAATATCAGAAAAAATATTAGGCATAAGTTTTAAAATTTCACTTTTTAGACATAAATGGTAGAAGATATTTCTTACTTTGAAATAAAGAGACCTGATATCTGAGATGACATAATCATCAATGACAAGAACACACATTTACTTGAGTTTGTCAGGAAAAACAGCTGGAATATTTTTTCATACTCTATATTTAATTCCCTAATTTCAAGGGCTGTAATTCCAGGCTGTAATTCCAACCCTATTTGTAATTCCTTTTTTTTTTTGGGCTGTTATTCTGAGGGCTGTAATTCCGACCCTAATTACGAGGGCTGTAACCAAGACATATTTTGAATGATTTTAATTCTCTTTAATTAATCAACATTCTATTTTTGTATGCTATGTTTCTAAACAATTTGTAATAAAACTTTTCATGTTAACCACAATCTATAATCTTGAATGTTCTCTAATATTATTTGACATGTTGTTTAACCACCTATAATAAATAGTAGATGGTGCATTTCAAGCCTGGCTGATTTCTTTGTCTCAATCTTGTTTATTATAGTGTTAAAATACATTATATATTTATTGCAATGTTTTATTGCTGGAAGTGTTTATCAACGATTATTGGGTAGTTAATAGGTATTTTCTTGTTTGTATAGTGTTTTTAATATTTTTAGTTTGTATGTAATCCTAACTTAAATTCAAATATAACAAATATTATCATTGTTATAATTTTTGAGTTTATGCATGTTTCTTTAAGTATAAAGCTTAAAAGTTTTTAAGTATAAAACTTAATAGTCTTTAAGTATAAAGCTATAAAGCTTTTTTAACCCAAAAGTAAAAACAGAAAGTTGTAACCCAGACATAAACACTAAACTTTTTATTGATTTTTGTTTTTGTTGCATTTTGTAATCTTTATTTTTCAGAAAAGATGGCCCAATGTTACTGTAATAATGTTGATTTTACTGGTCTTCCTCATCGAAAATGTGTTAATAACATATGTGTAGGAGATGAAACATTAGAAGAAACTGTGTGTTATGCTTCTCTTGAAAAAGATTATAGCATAGAAAAAGGTTGTACTACTCCATCATTGTGTTACAAGGAAAAACAAACGCCAGTTCACGATAGAGTCTTTGAATGTTGTGAAACAAACTTGTGTAACTTTAATTTAACAGAAGAAACAATGAAATATTTCAAAATGTGTATGCTTTTATTTTTCTTAATCAAAACTATTATAATTATTATAATCTATAATTTGATTATTTTATTTTACATATTGAATTTCTGTCTAAAATAGTTCTGATTAAGTTAGCTTTAGTGTAATAGGACAGTGCTATTACACAAAAGCAAACTTAAGCCACCTATTATTTAAGTTTGTTGTCATACTAATAACCTTCAATTAATGATTTCCAATTTTTTTAGTATTCCTGTTGATAATGTTCAATTTTTTAGTATTTATGTTGATTAAAAATAGTTAGGTATCTTTAGATGAAAAGGATACACAAAGTACAGTTTTGACTGCAAAACAAATTGAAAGTAAACCAAGTACTACTCAAGTTGCAATCTCCATAGCCATTCCTCTCTCAACTTTATTCATTATATGTTCTATAATAGCACTCTATGTACACAAAGTTAGAAAGAAAAGGGCTATCAGACTTATCCAAGGTAAAACTCGTCAGCGTCTCTTACAAGAAGAAATGGATTTGAACGAGTTAAGTCTAGTTGACATCACTAGCTCAGGTGAAAGTGAAAAGATATATATTTCTTGTTATTAAAGTTTATTTTAAATTATGTGTTGTTTACAAATATTCAACTCTTTCAATATGTCATTTTTGAATAAAAAAAGGTTTTTCTAAACTTGTCCAAATTACGCAAATGCAGAACCATTTGTTAAACTGCAAAATAATATGCATCATCTTTTTACACATTTTTTTTTACTTTACTAACTTAAATTATATAACATATAAATACATATATAGGGGACAGAATATATACGTAATACAGAATATAAACAAAAATATAGAGGAGAGTGGGACATCATGATACATGTGGCACCATGAAACATGTAGTCATAGAGACAGACTTTCATATGGTGAAACAGTTCCTACTAGAGTTTTGACAAAAAAAAAATTCAACATTTAAGCCTGCAAGGAATCAAATTTAGTGTTTTTTTCAATTACAAAGTAACTTATTAGATTTAAAGTTTTAAGGTTTATTGTTTAATGGTAAGTAACATTATTTTGTAATGTGTCTATTGGTAAGAAACATTATTTTGTAATGTGTCTATTGGTAAGTAACATTATTTTGTAAACTATAATCCATAAGCTCTTTACTTCATTAAACAAAATGATTGAAAAAACAAATTGATATTAAAAATAAAGCAATAGTTTTCTTTTAGCAAAAATGGGATAACTTGGGGTGACAGAATAGTGTCGAAAAATGAACTTCGGAATAGTGTTGAAAATATTTTAAAAGCCTTATGTCGCAACAACAAAAAATGAATTATGTCACAAATGAACTCAAGGAATAGTGTTGAAAACAAAAAAAGGAATAGTGTTGCAAATAAATTTAATAAATAGTGTCAAAAAAAAAAAAAAAGAATAGTGTTGCAAATGGTAAAAGGAATAGCGTCACAATTATTAAAAGGAATATTGATGCAAATAGTTAATTCGGAATTGTGTTGCAATTAGTAAAAATGGAATAGTGTTGCAAATAGTAAAATTGAAATAGTGTCGTAAATAGTAAAAACAGAAGAATGTTGCATATAGTAAAAACAGAATTGTAGTTGGAGAGAATTAGCAAGAAATGGGGTCAAACCCAGACAAAAATAATATAAAGCTGAAATTTGGCAGAGAGAAAGTAGTCTTTAGGTGAGCTTAAAAAAAGTCCTGTTGATTGCGCTATGGAGCAAATTTTAACTTGTTTAAATTATAAAAACATTAAATTTAAATAATTAATTGTAAAAAAAATGTTAAATTTTAAAGTTGTAAAAAAGCGTTAAATTGTAAAACTGTAAAGAAAACGTTAAATTAAAGAAAAAAAAAATATTGAATTGTAAAAGAAAACTTTAAATTGTAAAAAAATTAAATTTATTTTTAAATTTAATCTTATTATACCTTTTGTTTCTAAAAAAAGGTAGCTTTGATCAGGCGGGCTGAAAGGGTGGGGGTGCAAGTAGAAGCTAATGAGACATGTTGTCCTTAACAGCATATGCCAAAGGGCACCAAAGAAAAAAAGATACAAAATAAAAAGGGACTTCGACTGATAATATAGGAAAATCTAGACAAATAGGGGCACCAATCAGAGTTACTTATCAAACCAGTATGAAACCTTTTGGTTCCCCTGACTAAGTAGACTAAATTTTGCCATATAATTAATACCAAAAGATTTTGCCTGACAAAACTTCATTATTTCTTTATTTGGCAAAAATATTATTTTCAATAAAACAATGTCAAATTTAATGGAATTTTATGAAAGAATAAAGTTTAGTCTTGGCTAATAAGTTTAGATATTTTTTACTCAACTATATGCTAAAAATCAACAGCGAGAACAAACATGAAAGTTTATAAGACTTCACTATACTTGAAAATCTCGATTAACTCTGTTTCTTGCTAGAGGAAGAGACAGCCAGAGCAGCCAACATTATTTTTCTTTTTTTTTTTGTTTTCAACCCTATTCATTAAACTCCTTTGCAAAATTATTCCTTTTTCAATTTTTGACACTATTTGTTAAAGTCATTTGGCACACTATTCCTTATTCTATTATTCAATAATTAATAGTGCGACAATTTGCAACAATCAAAATTTTGCGACACTATTCCTCCACACTGTAATTTGATACAGCATTTGTGGAGGAGGGAGGGAGGCTAAAACTGTAGAATAATACTCCATAGTGTCATAAACAATTCTAAAAATAGTTTCTTTTAATATTTACAGTCAATTTTTAAGAGATATATGTAAATATAATACAAGGAGAGTTTTATGCAAAGTCATTTTTTATTGACGCTTAAGAATGACATTTAAAACAATATATTATCTGGATTTCTGAATTTAATATATTAAAGATGCTCATAGTTTGTATCAAGGTACCTAGTATGGTGAAATTGGAGTTATACCTAGAGAAAAATCATATAAAGTTAGGTTTTTGCACATAGGTTAGCATGTCAGCAATGACCAAAAAAAAGCCCCGTGTTTTGAGAACAGGAAATGCCATTTTAGGCCTATTTTTCAATTAAAATATTGGGCAAAATGACTAAATTTTTTATATTGTTGAAATAATAAGTTTTATATAAAGATAATTTAATTCTAAGTAAAAAGTTTTCGTATGCAAAGTTTAAAAAAGGTATTGTTGTCTTTTTCAATTTCTGAAAAGGCTCCACTTGACAACAAGTGAAGGTGAGTATCTTTGTATTGAAAAGGATTTCTAGTTTCGAACCAGCCATAAAATCTTTGTAATCGTTTAATCTATGTGTGAAACCCATTTCTAGATGCTGGTCACTAGTTCCAATTTCAACACCTGTAAATTTTGTCATGGTGTCATGAACAGCAGCTATGTAATTAATACTTAAAACTCAAAGGAGACGTACATTTTCTTTAAGTCTCTTGTTAACCCACTGCTAGTTTTGAGGGACAGTGTGAGCGTTTGTTCAATCACAAGATCTGACCATAATCCACCCCAATACTTGATCTTAGAACTGCATGTTTTAAGATCAAGTATTGGGATCTACTTGATCTTAGAACTGCATGTTCTATAAACTATCATGAAGTCAAGGGTTAGTCTCTGAAAGAGTTAACATTTTTTGGAAATACATTCTAGCACTTCTGGCATAATTTACATGACCTGTTGCTGCAAATAAATTCAGCATTTTCTTCATGGCTTGCAGATGTAAATACCAGTTAGAAGTCCTTTCTGTACAAATACATTCTTTCACAACGTCAAAATATTCTATATATTAAAGCCATAATGCAACTGTACGCAATTCAACTTTTTTTTCTCAATAAATACAGATAATACACTCTTAGCTCGTATAAAAACATCACTATTTCACAACTCAAATAATTTTTCCTTGTTCATGCCGTGATTATTCATTGCATTTTGATAGGCAGGTATAAAACCAGCAAGATCAATGCTACTTTCTTCTATTAATGAATCCATTAAACAAACCGTTAAAACATTTTGAATAAGATGTGAGTTCCAAGAGATTTAGTAACTGCCTTTCTTTAAAACATGTGTTGAACAGTATGCTCTGCATACATTTCTTTGAAGATTTCCTCAGATGTCCAGATCCAGACATTAGCTTACCTATGTTCCCAAAAAAACTCATGAGTGTGTGAAATCCACCAAGGCTGCACACATTGTTCAGATTTTCATTTTTCACATTTCCAATAGCTTTCAACCATAGTGGTTGATCAAATGTAACACATGGTGTAGATATGCCAAATTTTTTGGCTTGAGATATCACAAGTTGAAGAGTTGAATAAATACATGACTCTTCCAAAGGATTTAAGTCAATAATGGGAAGAAAATGGATAGTCGTCTTTTGAAACTTGTCACTGCATGTAGTTACAGCATGTTGCATGAATCCTGACCAATTAGGACGTGGAGATTTTTTTGAAGTTAAAAACCATGCAGCTTGCCACAATAGATCAAGCCTCATAACAGGTGAATAAAACAATGGCATTGCTTAATCTCTGACAGCCTTAAATTTTATTTTTGGTAATTTGATCCGCAAAAAAGGCTTTATCGCATCTTTAGAGCAAAAAGATTGTTTATGCTTCAAGCGTTTAACAGCAACGAATTTTTGAACAGAGTATGGAGTAATTGCGATTATACCCATTCCATGAAAAGTGTTTTTTCCAGTTAGAGTGCATATGTTCTGGTCAACATTATCGGCAACCCATTGTGTAAATTTATGTTCTTGCATTTCAGTTGCGTCTTCTTTTTCCTCAGCAGCCAATTCTTTAAATAACTTCACTTCATCAGAAGAAACACTAAATCCAAGTCTAGAAAGATGATCAATTTTGTTTAGCCATTTTGTTGCAAACAATTTGTCAAATCCCAAAAGGAATTGGTGCAATAATTGATTTTGGTCTAGAGCATTGAGCAATGCACTGACCAATACTGAATTGCTTCAGTTCTGATGAAATCAAGAATTTTAAAAAGTGAATGCTTGCAGGAACCCAAATTTTGGGTTCCAACAAGCGTTTTAATCAAATGGACGATTTAATCCCACTTTAAATTGCCCATTTGATTAATTATGGGATAGTTAGATTTATTAAAAGAAATTTCTCTGATGTCGTTTTTATTGATTTTTGCTGCGGCTGCAGTGATGTCATCGGATGTTTGTTTGTCTTTTTTCTTAAAATTTTCCATAATGAACCAAGTCATGCCTTTGAAGCAAATAAGATTTTGTCAACCTGGTGCTTCTTCAAAAAATCTATGATTACCGTAATATTCTACAAGCTTATTTTATTTTTAATGGAGTAACATGGAGTCTTTACTAAGTTCTAAGACTTTATCATACATTTTGTTTAATGTGCAAAGTTCACAATCTGTATTTTTTTCTAACCAATCACAAACCTTGTAAAAATTAAGAAGCATCAAATCATCTGTCGGACAACCTTTTTTATTTCCAGTCAGTAAATTAAATCTGAATTTTTTTATATAATGAATGTGATAAACTGCTTCTTCTGCAACAAGATCATTACAACTTGATAAACAACCTAAAACTTCACTTCCCCATTCATTAGCTCTGCTTTTACAGAGTTAAAGTTAAGAGCTTATTTCGAAGTGGTAGCGTTCTCACTTGAATACTGTACTGTTTTTACCGTCAGCTGATTTGGTACAATAGAAGGAAGCAACAGGGTTTCCACTTAAAACGTACATCTGTAATTGAAGATGATTGTAGTTTCTTAATTGGCACAATTTCTGTATTTGTATTCCTTGTATCAACAAACCTTCTTCTGTAATTTAAGTAGACCATGGTTTATCATAAGCATTTGATTCTATTTTATCCTATATATTTAAATATACCTATTCAAATCATATATTCCTCTTTCATTGCAGATTCTCTTTAAAGTTTGGAGTCTTCTCTTTTTCATTTGAAATTGATGGACACTTTTCAAAGCTACCGTTGCACAACAAACAAGTTTCATTTATCTCTATATACACTTTATATTTATATTTATACTGAATTAAATTTGAACGAAATTTAATTTAGTCTTTATAGTGTTTTCAGCTAATTCTATTGTACAAACTCCATGGGTGGGGTACCTTTATACAAATTTTTAAATTTAATTTTATATAATACAAGTTTTTAAATTATAAAGTAGTCTCAAAAGTCAAAAGTCTCAATTATAATTTGGTAATACATTTAATTTTGTAGGTATAAATATATCTTTAAAATGATTGTCTAAAAAAATAGTCTATTACAAATAGGTTTACAAAGTAAGAACTAAAACTTTAAGTTGTGCCCCCCTCTCCCCTAATAATAAAAAGTATAACTGAAACAGTGAAAACCTCAAAAAAAAATTTTATTTTTAATGTTATTATTTGTAATTAATTACAATTAATTGTAATTAGCTAATAATATTTATAATAAAAATATTTTTATAAAAAAAAATACCAATATATAATAGTGGTATTTTTTTTAAAAAATAAAATTTTTAAAAATGTTGCTTGATGTTTGATAAAATGGTGTTTGATATTAAACAACATTTCTTGAAAAGTTATTTTTTTATTTTCATTGTATGATAAATGGCTTTATTGGCTGTTTACTATAGGAAGTGGAGCTGGTTTACCACTTTTAGTACAACGAACAATTGCACGACAAATAATTCTTCATGAATGTATTGGAAGAGGTGGGTTTGGTGATGTGTATAGAGGTACATGGAATGAACAAGATGTTGCTGTAAAAATTTTCTCAACAAATGAAGAAGCATCATGGTTTCGCGAATATCAAATCTATCAAACTACAATGCTTCGTCACGAAAATATACTTGGTAAAATTTTTTTGTATCATTTTTTATAAAATTGCTCATATGATTTTAGAAACAAAATTCTTAATATAGCAGTTTTAAATTGTTACATATTTATATGAGACTTTCTCTAAATAACAGTTGAAATTTTAATGAAAGTTAATTGAAAGTATTTTATTCAATGTCACACTATAGCACACAGTAATGATTATTGTGGCTGATATACCAAATCTGGTGAACAAAAAATGTAGGTACAGATTGTTTATTCAATTAAAACATAATGACTTGTAACATTTGAACCTTTTTATTTATTATAAAAAGCTCTTAAAAGGTTTATTATTTAGCCAAGAATAGAACAATTATTCCATGGTAGACATGGATTAAAACTCTATCTATATAACTCTAAATTTCTATTAAAATAACCAGCAAATTTTCTAAACTGGGGCTGGTTGGTCTCAACTGGTTTATACAAAAAATATTTCTATTTAAAAAAAGCAGTTGAATTAAAAGCTGGAGCTTTTATAATGTTGATGAATTGTAATTTTTGTTTTAATTGGACCCTCAATTTATACTGGATTAAGCATTAGATGATGATGATGATGATGATGATGATGATGATGATGATGATGATGATGATGATGATGATGATGATGATGATGATGATAATAACAATATTGATGATGGTGATGATGTTGATGATGATGATGATGATGATGATGATGATGATGATGATGATGATGATGATGATGATGATGATGATGATGACGATGACGATGACGATGATGAAGATGATGATGATGATGATGATGATGATGATGATGATGATGATGATGATGATGATGATGATGATGATGATGATGATGATGATGATGATGGTGATGATGATGAATATATAAATTAATATATATTATTTAGGATTTATTGCAGCAGACAGTAAGGACACAGGTGCTTGTACGCAACTTTGGTTAGTTTCTGAGTTTCACAAATTAGGCTCCCTCTTTGATTTTTTACATACCAATACTGTTAGTTTAGAAGAACTTTTTATAATGGCTATTAGTATAGTTAATGGGTTAGCTCACTTGCATACTGAAGTTATTGGTACACAGGGAAAACCAGCTATGGCGCATCGAGACATGAAATCAAAAAATATTTTAGTTAAAAATAATAGTAAGTACTATTAATAATTTTAAATCATCTAATGTAATGTACTTTTTAAATCATCTAATGTAATGTACTTTTTAAATCATCTAATTAATGTTCTTTTTAAATCATCTAATGTAATGTTCTTTTTAAATCATCTAATGTAATGTTCTTTTTAAATCATCTAATGTAATGTTCTTTTTAAATCATTTAATGTAATGTACTTTTTAAATCATCTAATGTAATGTACTTTTTAAATCATCTAATGTAATGCAGGAATTATCTTTTTCCGGATATTTCCGGAATTCCGGATTTTTTTTAAGTTTTTTGTATTTTCCGGATAATTAAATTGTTTTCAAAAATACAATTTATAAATTTTTTTCTGTTTATTACTGTCATCAAATGAAACAGTAACAAGTATATATAAACAGTAAATTTGTTGTCCATAAATTACGGAACGCTATATTTAGTTAACAAACAAAGCAAAAAAGATTAAAAGATTTCCCTCGCAGAGTAAATCAAAAATTAATAAGCATTTTAATAAATTTTAATAAAAATTCCAGCGCAAAAGAGCGAATGATCTCCTACTTTTAAAATAAAATTAGCGATGCGTGTCAAACTCTTCTCTTTTTTAAAAAAATTGTAAATTTACGCTTTTTAAATAGCTCTTTTAGCTATTAGCAAAGAGATTTCTTTTTTATTGTTTTAAAACTTTTTTTTTAAGTAAATCACTTCGCTTATGGACTGAAACTTTTCTCAGTTTGTTTGTCGGTGGTTCAAAATTTATTGCATCGTTATTTCGTTTTCTGTCCAGTCGTACCATTGCAAGTCTCTTTTCGTATACACTTTTTGAAAGTATCATTTTTTCGCATAATTTCTTATTAATTGGCGACTTTAAAAAGTTTTGACGATGGTATTGAGTTATAGAGTTGCTTTTCTTTGAACGCAAATCAAATTTAACTGTTTGAATTGCCGAAAACGTTTCTACATTAAGACGGGTTGTCTTCTTGTTTATGACATCATTCATGGTACTAGTAAAGAAAAAGAAATAGTCTAAAGAAATTTTTCTTCGTTTTTGACTTACCTGAACTACTATAATATAATTATGTTATAATAATTATTTAATTAAATTAGTAATAATATTATAAATAGTGTTTAACACGTTGACCGCATCGTGTATCCATATGTATACACGCGTAAACTCTCGTTTCTTCAAGTCGTGTATCCATATGGATACACGATTTTGATAGTAAATTTATTTTTGTTAATTTTAAGTATTCTAATTTTTACTTGTTTCCAATTGTTTCTTTATATTTATCAATTCTTAAAATTTAATGGCGTTTAAATAGATAGCGTTTTAAGAAAAAAAACTTCGTTCAAATTATAAAAAACACTGTGGTAAAAGATAACTTTATTTGAAAAAAATAAAACAGAAAATAACATTAGAATTAAAAAAAACCGTTATAACAAAAAAATAAAATCAACATAATCAATAAAATCAACATTTAGTATGACATTTTTGAAAACAAGCTAAACAAAAAGGTTTTAAACAATTATCACATCTTGTCTTAATTTGACTAGCACGATTCCTGGCAATTGTGGCACCAAATTCTTTTGATAATTTGTTGTAGCATTCAGTACAACGTCGTTTTCGAATAGTTTTTTCTCCTGGTTCTTTTTCAAGTTGATGTTTTCGTCCAGAAGATGTTGGCTTTTCCAGTTGCAAAATTGATGAGACAATATCTCTTTTGAATTGTACAATTTTGATATTTTTTCCGCTATGTAATTTATAAAGATGCAGAGCATTAACAATGGAAACTTGAGTAATTATATGAAAAAAGATTCTGAGGTACCATTTCATTGTTTTACGTACGTATGGACAATAAGAGCCCAATTGGTCAGATAGATCGTTAAACGATTTCCCTTTATTGTAATCTACGATAACAGCAGGTTTTCCTCTGTCCGTAATGCTACCATCGTGAATAGATGAAAGCATTATAACTTCTCTTTTATCTTTCCATTTTAAAATCATAATACCATCACCATTTTGTTCTGCAACATAATCACCTTTCTTCAATTTCAGAGAAGTTACGTGTTTTGGAAATCCAATTCTATTTTTTCTGGCCGTCCCAACTAAGTTTGTCTTGTTTTCCAATAAAGATTTCGCCAAATTCATACTTGTATACCAGTTATCTGTATACAGAATTCTGCCATGTCCAAGAAGGTTTTCCATTAGTTTTAAAACTACACGTTCTGCCACAGAACCATATCTTGGCTGGTCCTCTTTACCGGCATAAATTGATAAATTATAAGTGTATCCGTTGTTGCTACACAATTTAAAGATTTTGATGCCATATTTATGCCTTTTACTAGGAATATACATACGAAATCGAAGTCTGCCGCGAAAGGGTATCATGCTTTCGTCAATGCATATATCTCTGCCTGGAACCAGTAAGTGTTGACATCTGGCAATGAACAAGTTGACAAATTTTTCTATTTTATATAATTTTGATCCATTATTGTTGTCATTGTCAGCGAAGTGGAGGGATCTCATCAAAGAATAAAATCTTTTCCTTGTCATTACACCTCCACATATTGCTTTACCGCCAATAGCAGGGTCAGAGGACCAATAATCATCGAGTTTAGGCAGAACAACATATCCCATTTGCAAAATGATAGCCATAAATTTTCGCATTTCCATATTATTTGTCGGCAAATAGTTTGAATCCTTTGTTGGTCCATAACGATTAGTTTCTTCCACAATAAAATCGATAAGTTCGTTGTTCATAAATAAGTTATAGTAATCGACAGGTTCTTTGCAATCCATTACCATATCCATATTCATGCCCGCAGTTCCGTCATCAAAATCCCATCTTAAAGGTTTCTGCACATTTTTCGACCATTCTTCTGAACCATCATCACTACCACCATCAGTTGATTCACTATCAGCACTATCGGATTCATCAGATTCGTCCTGTTGAATTGTTTCCATTAAATCAGAATCATGTTCGTCATCACTTTGTAACAGCAACCTTTCAAAGCTATCGTTTAATTCAATATTATCATCAGCCATTCTAATAAATAAGAAAAATTAATAGCTAGAAAATAATAAAAATTTACGATTGTATCAAAAAATTAGTAATATCAATCAAGTATTTGAGGAAAAAAGTTGAAAACTGTTAAGTTTCGACAGTCAAGTTTTCTTTCAGTCGATCACAATTATTTATTCAACAATATTTAAAGTCCATACAATTGCTGAACTGGTGTTTAGCAGAAAACGCTAGGTTTATATACCCGTTTATCGGCGTGCTGGAAGGTTCTGGAACATTTTGGAAAAATATATTTTTAAATATTTAAAAGTTAAATAGTTTAGGTTTTGAGAAAATTATTGTTCGAATGTTCAAACAAAAACTAAAAATTAAAAAAAAAAAACTCCTCTTTGACTTATTTGTGTATACATATGTATACACGAAATATTCAAAAAAAAAAAGATTATTTGGCAATGTGATTTTTTCAAAAAAAGGCAAGGCGGTCAACGTGTTAATAGTTACTTTTAAATTACAACTTGAAGCTCTCAGATCAAAAAAGTTACCTGAACGATTGTTCTATCATAGGTCCAGTAAATATTGACAAACAAGCTTTAATAACCTTGGTAAGTAAGTTGTATCGGTTCAATACAAAAACCTCGGACCACCATTGATCAAGTCTTTTTCCTTTTACTGCTGGTAAGTCTTTAGCGAGATGAAACGCAACAACTTCCCTGTCAAATAAGTCTGCTTCGTCAATTTTTATAATGTTAGGAAAAAATTCTTTCAGCTTCTGCGTCATTCGACACGCAACTGTACTTCCAACACACGTTGGATCAATAGAGGATAGTAGTTTTAATAACTCGTTCGATAAAGGAATCTTTTTTTGCATATACTTTGCACCATCGAGAAATGCTCTTTTAACATGCGATTCAAACTCTGTTCGGATAGGATCATCAAGTCTATATTATTTAAAAGATTTTCGTTACCTTTCTCGTTAAATTATATTTCAAAAATAACATAAGTTTATTGATTATTTTTTAATATCTTAATAGACTAATATCAAAAGTCGCGTATATAAAAATCGAATTTAATAATATTATTACTGTTTTGCTTTAGTTAATACAAATTTACTAACCTAAATTTGAGAAGAGCTGTGTTTGTGTTTTTGCCAATGTACCAATCTTTTTGAATTTTGTGAAATTTGAAGTCTGTTACGTCAAGCATTGTTAGTTTTTTACCCGATGCATCCTTAATTAGTTCTAGCTTCATAAAGCAGCCTAAAAAAGATTTAACCACTGATTTTAGCTCATCGTATAAAATGTGAATCTTCGGTTCTTTTTGTTCAAATATTAAAATAAATGACTTGAAAATCGGGAGGATTGCAATATAGAAGTTAGCATGCAGCTCGGTTTTTCTTCGCTTGTAGAAAAGTTTGCTTACTATTCTTTTCTTTCTTTCTTTTCCAGCTTCAGTTAAAGACTTTTTTTTGCATTTAGCGCCAATTGAGTAAATCCTTTTTTTTACACCATTTGACAAGTTCTAAAAATATAAAATTTCACGAATAAAACATATCTGCATAGAAAAGTTTTTTTCGCAGTTTTTGACGTTTTTAAATTTTTACCTCCGTTAGTTTTTCATAATCATCCATGTAGATAGTTTGTTCCTCTTTCTTTAACCAAAAAAAGTACAACACGCTAAGAGCAGGAAAAAGTGCCATGTTACACTCAATAGCATCGAACGTTGATAACCAACGGTGATCAATATGGTCAGGTGGCATTCGATAGTTTACACCTAAGTAACCACATATTTCACTTAAATAGTTTCGAATGTCAGGGCTCCATTTTAGGTCATTGTGAACATCTTTACAGAAATACTCAATATACTTTTCAAATGGTGCCAAGAATCTTTTAACAGTGTTATGCATATGATGACACATGTCTCCGTCAATATCTAAAAGATGAGGGACATGTAGCCTTAAAAGGGTCTCAAAACCTGTTT